AAGTAACATTCACAGATAATATATACACTTCAATTGTTCTATCGCTCTTAAAATTTGAAGAGATTTACATTCCTGTTTATCCTGGTGGTAGGGGTTTGTTTTTCTTGGTATTTCTATAATGGACATCATATATTTTATTCTGCTTTGAAAAATACAATTTTGTAAACTTAACATGTCGAAGTATAAAAGAAGAGAAAGAATCCTCAAGAAAAGACAGATGGCAGACTATCTTTTTCAAAATACAATTTCAGAGTAGCATACAATTGCTAATAGGGAGATCCTAAAATGTTTTTCCTTGACAGACAAGAGGTGATAAATTGTCAGCATAAACTTCATCTCTGACTACTCCTGTGATCTAAAGCTTTCCTGTGAGTTTTGTACCATCAAAGTCAACTTCTTATAACTCTACAAAAATTTATGAATGCATTTGACTATAAAATGACTGAAGGCATCCCATAATGCCTGTAGTTTATTGTGCATCAGCTCTCTTTTTTTAGTACAAGTAAAAGTTGCCTAGATCTTCCTCTGTCTTTTAAATTTATAAACAGATAGATTAAACACACACACACAAACAATTTTCATATTAGCTATTTAAAATTTTATATATATATATATATAATTCAAGGGATCTCCAAGGTCCCTTTCAACTCTGTTGTTCTGTTATTCTGTAGAAGTGTATGACACCTGACATCTATTTATTTATTGAATAAAACGAATTGGATGTAGCAAAACAAAAACTAGGTGCTAAATATAGGGAACAACAATTATGATTTGGCTCTGAGGCTTGATTCCAGTCATAATTCTTCTGGGTCACTACTCATTCAGCAACTGTTCAAAATTATGACGGCACTGAATGAAAGGATTACTCAGGAAAAAAACCATGGCAGGAGCAACTTATAGGATCAACTTGCAACCTTCTCTGTCAGCTTTCCCATTGACTTTGCTTCATTGATTTTAACAATCACGTGACTGCAGCTTGCTGCACTATCATAATTGTGGATCAGTTGTAAGCTCCGCTATAGAGTAGAAGATTTCAGAGATCTCCTAGTCCACAACATCTCCCTACCAAACCACCATTCCCTACCAGCCTGCATGCTCCACGTGCCTGGCCTTGGCTCTTGCTGGCCCACCTGCAGCCCCTGCCAGCCCACTTGTGAGCCCTTGCCAACTTGCCCATGCTGGTATGCCTGCACTCCTTACAGCCTGCCCATAGAATCTCCTGCAGCATCTCCATACCTCCTGATCTCTATAGTGATTGTGTGTGGCATCCTCACCCCCACTCCTTGCTTGGACTCCCACCTCTTCCCACTTTATGACCTGAGTAGTCCAGAATTGCTGTTGCTAAATAATGTGATCACACAACATTGTGCTTTATGACAACATCATTTAGTGATGAAAATTCGCTAAATGGGAAAATTTGGTTGGGAAATTTTGGTCCCAACTGCTGTTGTATCCCAACAACTACCTGTAAAAGGCCATCAATTGATATCTCACTTCCAATGCCATGATATTGTGATTTTCTTTCAACTGAATAATGCAATTCATATATATTCTCAGTGCAACACCAAGTGAGTGATTTGATTAAACAGGTTGATTGGATTATCAATTGATTGATTATTTGACTGATTGATTAAAGTTTTCAGGAAAACTGTGATTACCTCATTCTATAGTCCATAATGTAAGATAGTCTTGGCAGAATAGCAATAGAACCATTAAATTGAGTGTGTACCAACATTTTTTGGTGAAAATATTATTGGAGATTTTTCAATTTTTTAACTTGTACCTATTTCAAGATTATTTTAGTGCAAGGAGGTAGATTAGAGGAAATATATCCATCATTTTTCAATGTTCATTACAAAAACTTCGGATGCATTCCAGTAATTAAATGTTTCCATATTATTTTTTTTTATCTCAGTTTATTGCATTGAATTAAATATGATATGCCTAAATGCTGTGATAAAAATGGCTATTAAAGAGATAAAGATGATGTTTAAATATTCATATTTCTGAGATCTGTCCAAATATGAGGAATGAGAAGTTCTTACAAACTGAATTCTTCACATTCTGACTGGGAGAAAGTTAACTTCTATATAGTATAACATAAATAAATGGCACTTAGGAACCACTAAGGAGGTTTTACTTTAATACATATCCATAATATACAAGGTCTAATTCAGTGGTGGGTTTCAAAAATTTTTACTACCAGTTCTGTGGGTGTGGTTTGGTGGGCGTGACATGGCTTAGTGAGTGTGGTAGGGGAAGGATACTGTAAAATCTCCATTCCCTCCCCACTCCAGGGGAAAGTTACTGCAAAATCCCCATTTCCTCCCGACCAGCTGGGACTCAGGAGGCAGAGAATAGATGGGGGTGGGGCCAGCCAGAGGTAGTATTTACCGGTTCTCCGAATACTCAAAATTTCTGCTACCGGTTCTCCAGAACTAGTCAGAACCTGCTGAAACCCACCTCTGGTTTAAATATATAGATCTTCACTAAAGTTTGTGAAAACTTCAGTGCAGATCTATATATATTGAGACCTTTTATATTATAGATAATTGTGTTAAATAAAGCCTCCTTAGTTTTTCCCAATAGGCTGCCTTCATAAAGACTAAACTTTGCAAGACATTTTCTATTCCCACCTGAACACCAGACAATCACTGCATCACTGTAACCAATTTCTCTCTCAAGAACGTTCCCTCAGAAATACTGGATGTTATATGTACTGTAAGTTGAAGTTGAGAATGTAAAAGCAGACGTACGTGTTACTCAAAAGAGTCAGTAGTCAAACAATTTATTTGGTCACTTCAGAGAAAGATTTTAGCATTGGCTGAAATTCTGGATTGAGAGTTTATTACACAGTCAAGTTGTGAACGTACATTTATTCTTATTTATCAGATTTATTTCTTGCTATTCTTCTGGAAACTCAAGGAGAGTTAGTCCTATTCCACTTTAACCAACATTCAAGTCTTTTTCAAACTTTTTATCCCAATATTAACTTGGTGTTGTCATTTTGGAAAGTTTTTCTTTATTCCCTACTGTCAGCCCTATGCAAAAAAACCACCTCCTGCTATTACTGATCAGACACAAACTTTCTTATCTTAAATTTATATAGAGCAATTAAATATTTAATTATGAAGCTTAGAATTTGCCTACAAGAAATGACAACTATATTGTGTGTTTTGCACCACATGAAAGCATACTGAGTTCAGCATTAGAGCCAAAGCATTGAATCCTTTAAAAAATAATTTCTTAAAAAATATTCAAAAGTATCATTTACATTTATATCAAAAAAATATTCCAGAGCAAACATTTTTCTAAGATGTTTCTTCTTCACAAAAATTATTGTCTTAATTTTTTTCTAAAACTGAAAAATCTTCTTTTTCCAGCATTTTCTATGTTTCCCTGTATGAGCATATTCTTCTTTATATATTTTTATTTTGTAATAACTTAGTTCTTTTCCTTTATTCTGCAATGGAGAATCAACACCAAATGTATAGAGGAGTGCAAAGATAGCCTTGACCAAAGCATATAAAGCAAATATAAAGCATTAAGAGGGACATTAAGAGAGAGCAAATAAACAGCTCTAAACTGGGAAAGGAATATGCATGAGAAAGAGACTCGGTATAATCCCATCTTGATTGTGTTTCACATAAGGGAGGTCAGAGGAAAGCCCTGGTAGGCTTTCAAGATATTGTTAGTATATTCTACAAGTTATATTTCTGCAGCCTTTAGGGATGACATAGGGTTGATAAAAGCTGTAAATACAACCTGGAAGTTTGTTCTCAGTATTATAAAACCATTGCACATATTATGCATAATAGAAATACTTTATTTTGAAGACTTATTCTATCATCTCCATCAAAGATCAAGTCAAGTTGTCTTAAATCTAATAGAAATAAGCACAAGCTATGTAACCAAAGGAAAGAATTTGTGATTTTCATATTCTCAAGATCCTGGCACAGAAGTTCGGTTTTACATTTGCTCTCATCTGAAATGCATCCAGAATAACACAGTAAACCATTTCAGATTGTATTATTTTCAAAGTCTGATTGTTCCTTAATAACTTTGAGTAGGCTGGTTGTTTTAGATTCAGTGTTCTGTAACATAACCAAAATAACAAGAAAAGTAATAACAGAATGGATTGCTTAAATAGGTAATAGATGGTTGTGTAAAGCATGAAAAAAGTATTTATTTATTTACATATTCAAGTGAACTATAGGGCCACTCAACTCAAACAATGTGGGTCGGGGTGGCATGCAACAGATATGCTATATTTTGAGTATATTGGCAAATCTTTATCTCTTGTAAAACAAGAGAAAGCAGGATAGCAGCAGAACAAACAGGAAATTAAGTGCAAGGACTGAAAGTGAAATTTGGGATTATTAATCACAAAGAAAGTTAAAGCAAGAAAAATAAAATAAAAAGAAACCCTATATCCACAGATAACAACATCAGTGATAAATGTTGAAAAAAATGAAGGTTGATCTGAATTCTCAACAGCTCAAAATCAGTCTTGTTCATAAGAGTATTTAGGATCATATATACATTTTTAAAAAAATGAAAATTCTTCCAGTGAAAATAATTTTTGATATAAAACATTTCCCCCAATTCATTGGCAGTGATAGAAAAATAGTTGTAAACTCCCAATACAGCATTCCTTCTCATTAAATCTATGGAATCTATGCTTCCTAAGAAGCATCTCCTGTTGTGTTAAATGAGGCTTTTAATTATTTCGTTCTACATGAAGAATTTTTAGGGATTGATACAGATAGTCTGTGACACTAAAGAATGCTTCTGATTTTTTAACCTTGCTATGATACCTGATGGATATACTTCAAAAATATCATCTATGGCCTTTCACTTTCTATTTGTAAAACTACTCAGGCTCAACTGTTATGAAGCTCTTGAGAGGAGATTCTGGGATCTGCTACAATTGATCATATATCTTTTTTAAAAGATGGAGAACATCTAACAATATTTAGGGAGACAAAACAAAAGTTTACCTTATATCCTGAAGATTTTATGTGTACACCTCGCTTGGTCAGTGTTGATTTCATCCGAATGAAAAAAGAACGCTCTAGGTTGTTGTCTGTAGAAAGTAGGCTTGGGCTTGTAGTTTCCACTAAAATAGACATAACAAAATAATTTATTGATCGTTTAACTTTTAGAGAGCTCTTCTGAATTTCATAGGTGTAGCCCTTGAGCTAACCTAGGGCCAAATGCAAGATATGGGAGAGGTTTTTTTTTAAAATTGAGCAGCAGAGAAGTTATAATAAGCAAATAAAGAATCTCTCTTTCACCCTGCTCATAATAGAAATAGGGAAAAAGCCAAACTGCTTTGGATGACAATTCATAGCCTTCTCTTAATACTCTGCAAGCAAAATTCCACAGCAGAAAAAAAATTGAAAAAAACAAACAAACTGATATTAGGAAAAGAGCCTATTTATTTTTCTGAAACTATCCCACAAATTTTGTCAATTCAACGTGGCCTTCCTCAATGCCACCCCCCCACCCCGAAAACGACCAGTCCATATATTATGGACAATTTTCAAACAATAAATTGTTGTTTTCTCGCTTCAATTGGAAGTTTCCGTCTCCCCTTGTTCTTTCCGTCAAATTGGAGCTGGCTTTTATCTGAGAGTAGGGAAGAGATAATTGTAACATTTGTCCACCTGAACATGAGTAAAAAGGTCACGTACTTGAGTGCTTTTATTTTCCTATCAAATGCGAGCACACTTTTGTTGTGCAAGACATTTAATTGAGAAGCAAACCTCTACGAATATATTGGCAAGCAGTTTTCATCAAATTTAAAGACCATTGCTTTTATCAACCAAGGTTTTTTCCCCTTTATTTGAAAAGGGTTAGGCTGTTGATATTAACTTGCATATATTTACTTTCCTATAGCCATTTTTACTTTGGATTTCTACTCTGTTGTGATTAGCCCACTGACAATAATGCTTTTTTTCTTCAGTATGTCTCAAGACTGTTTTTTTAAAGAGAGCATGAATTCCATGTCATTTTAAATGTACAGCTCTTTATCACTCGAGGGAAAAGCAGAGCCATGTTATATTTAGTACTTTCATTTCTTCTGATTAAATATGAATTACTATGAAATTTTTCTCATCATCTAACACGCCATAATACGCCAACAGCTTTTTAATACACTATATAAGCACAAACTTCTGCTCTAAGAGTTTAATTTGCCCCTCTAATCCAATCACATCAACCTTATTTCTCTTATCAGAGATTCCCATTTTGAATTAAATGAGCTCATTAGTTTTAATCAAAAGCAGAGAGATCAAAACTTAAATGTAAATGCTTTAGATCAGAACTGTCAGTCAGCCGTGCAGTTCTATTTTACTAAAACACAAGATCAGAGACCCTTAGAACCATTTTTTTTCCTCATAAGGGATGCTGAGAGCTCGAAGATGCTATATCCTATTTTTTTCTGTTTCCCAAGGACAGATTATACATTTAAGGTTAGACTTAATTTAGTGCATTTCTTCCTCTATTCTAGTGGAAATAGAAAAGTATGCCAATCTATTGTTGGCTTCTTTCACATTTATTGGTGATGTCCTCAGAGACCTAGTGAAGTGCTTAGCCGTCAGTAACCACACCACAAATTTGGCCTTAGTGTTGGGTTTCATTTGGTAATATCATGTTTGCAGCATCTAAAAAATGAAAGTTTCAAAGCAAGGAAATGTATATCAAGGTGACTAGAACCCTGAAACCACACACACAAAAAAGATCCTAAGCAATAATGGCATGAAGAGACTCACTATGAATTATTACTGCTAGTATACCGCACTCAATAGTACAGTGGTTAAAGTGTACATTAAGAAACCACAGCATGTGTTCTTCCTGCTGAGTGAATAAATATTAAAATTGGCTTCACACATGCAGCAGCTACAGTCCAGCACATTATAATCTAACATAAGCAGAGAGCAAAATATGTTACAATGTATTGTTAAAAATTATGAACTAAACACATGGAAGTTGTGTTAATTAAGAACATAGGAAGACTTCTGTTTGATAAAAACAAAGATCTCTTGACTCAAATACTTCCCAGAAGCATGGCATCAAAGCAGCATTCTCTTAATTGTTTTTTTTTTTAATCACATCAACTTGTTTTCAGATGTACAGCACTTCTGAACGTGAAGTTCTGTTTTTATGGCCAACAGCCATTAATCAAATTACGGTCTATGCATTAAATATATTTAGTTGGTGAAGTATATTTAAATGTGTCATATAAAAACACTCTCCTTTAAAAACTACTCAAACTAGGTCTTCAGATTCCACACCCTCCCCCCCCCCCCCGGTTACCTGCATAATAGTGGAAGTTCTGATTAAATGAAATCGTTTAAATTACTTAATTTTTTCACTGTCCATTTGATATTTTGACATATGCAGTATCTCTATAGTTCTGAGGTTTCTGAAGTCCCTTTTGCTTTTTAATGGGGATAAGCAATGGTTTTCGACAGTTCTGCTGTCTTTTTATTAGCATAATACAACCTAAATAATTGGACTTTATCTCTCCTACTCCTTCTTTCCACAACACGGGGCCTGGTGGCTCTGCAGGCTGAAAGCATTGTGATTAACACCAGCTGTCTGCAATTACTGTAAGTTCGAATCTCACCAGGCTCAAGGTTGACTCAGCCTTCCATCCTTTCTAAGGTAGGTTAAATGAGGACCCAGTTTGTGGGGGCAATAAGCTGACTTTGTATAAAATATACAAAAGTATGAAGGCTATTGCTTAACGCACTGTAAGCCTCCCTGAGTCTCCGGAGAAGGGTGACATATAAATAAAATAAAAAATAAAATAAAACATGTTTTCACAATGAATCCAGAAACCAATCCAGAAACCAATCCAGAAACTACGCGGAAAAGGGGTAGGAAAAGGGCACAACATAATTTGGCCATTCCTTTTCTATGACAACCTGACTGAAGTGCATAAGAAAGCATATGCAGTGATTTTGGGATTTGGAGTTAATCAATAGAGATTCAGAACATATTTAGGTTCTTTTCCCATGTAGGAACTCCCCTGTCACCCTTACTCCTCCATTGCAGTTAGCCATGCTATTTGTTGTACAATACTGGATGCCATTACAACAACTGCTTAAACCAAAATATTGTAAGCTATATTTGGACACTTTTGATTAACTCAAGAGCTTGGCCTGAAGCATAAAGAGAATTAGATTTCATTTTGCTTTATCAACCTGCAGGTCTAATATTCCTCTTTACTCAAGGGGATGGGGAATCTGCACCCTGATTCTCTGAAAGCCATAAAGTTATCTGAATGTCTTCTTCCTTCATATTTTTCTAATGTTATTTCTGCATTTTTGAATCAGCATCAATAGATTCTCCCTTTTTTAACTTCTCTTCTGTATCACACTCTTGTGCAAGAGACAGAAAGAATGAGACAAATCTTTTGAAGCATGTAGAAGGAAGGAAGGAAGGAAGGAAGGAAGGAAGGAAGGAAGGAAAGAAAGAAAGAAAGAAAGATGAGAAGAAATGTTACATGCTACACAAGAAACTTGCAACAGGATGGCATTTCAGTCAACCAGAAATTAAACCTCCAAGTAGATTTGAACAACTAAAGTCTGAAAACTCCTACTGGTTTGAAAAGCAGGTTTGTCTAGGAAGATGATTCATCTAGAAAGAAAATGTATGTGTGTGTCTATGTACATTTGAGAAAGAGATGTCAGGAAGAAATAAGAAAGGATTGATTCCAGTGTCAGTTCTAAAACTTTCTACTATATAATTGTCCACAGCCTACCTCTTGGTCTATGATGAGAACTAAGTACACTCTCAATTGCCCAACTTGAACCTAGTTTGCTTTTCCCTATGAATTCTCTGCTCTGTGCCATCGTAGTATTTATATTTTATATCAGCTTGATATAAAACCAATGATTCCTTCAAGTCTTATTGGTTACAATCTTCAGAATTCCCAATCAACACTAAGGATATGAATAATATTATAAATTATCATCCAACACATGTGAAGAGGATTAGCTTGGCAAAAAAATGTTCTAGTTTATAGCACAGATGTATTTTCAACTTGTCAAAACTGAAACTATTAGCCAAATATTTTCTTCTTCCTTCTACACTGAGAATTGACCATGGGTGTCTTAGGGGACAAATATGAGTCACATCACAAATAACAGAACTTCGTTAAGGCATCAGGACACAAATATGTAACATGATGGAATTTATAACATGATGCCATTGTGCATATCTTATCCTTCAGGGGTGATCAGGATTTCTGAGGATGCCATTCAATTTGCTGGAGTCAAGGCATAAAAGGTAAAAGGTAGGAAAAGTGACTTATTCTAGACTATATTTTAAGCACTAATTTTATGCAATTAATTTAATAATGTTTCACCATTAAGACTAATAATCTGAATAAAGTCCGGATGAAATATACGCACATGGAATTTTGAAGGATTCAGAATTTACCACTATCACAGAAATAAATCATTTTGTAGGTTACTGCACACATGAGAAGCAATGCTGATCTCATAAATCAGACCATGAAAATCATACCTATTCCATAACAATAACCATGACAATAAATACAGGCCGAGAAGCACAGCAGTTCTGAAATAATCCTACTAGCTAGAAGCAGCAGTTTAGAAACAGTTATACCACAGACTGTGAAGGGACTCAATATTTATTTTAAATAAACAGATGCCACAGCTTCAACACTGAAGTGAAGAATCAGTACATTGGAAAGTCTCTGTGATCATTCTGACAAGACTCTCAAAACAGACCATATACATATTGGATTTGTCAGATAACATGATTAAGATACCTAAAAAAAAAGTATTAATAATGTTTTCATATTCAGAAATTATTTTAATGGGACTTATTTTTGAGTCAAGTGGGCATATTGTATTTTATGGCAAGATATGGGGAGGAGACTTGTAAACTTGATAGGACATCTTTTATTGTAAATTGGAATATTAACATTAATGTTGCTTATTCAACTGCTGTCTTACCAGAGGGCCATAAGGAGGCTAACAATGAAAAAAAAAATACCAACCTTGGACAAAAATGAATTAAAACTGAATTGGCTAAGAAGAAAGATCAAGATCATGTTTGTTTTCTAAAGGCAGAGAGATTTCAATACATTCCATACGTTAAGGGCAACACATGACAAGGTTCACTCCTATGTGTCCAATTTTGCTCTCACATGCTCTCATCATCATCTTCTTTTAACCACCCCATAATCCCTTGCTGGGTGGAGTCTGGGCAACTGAATGCAGCTAGCAGAATGTTTTAATGGCCAGATACCCTTCCTGTCGTCAGTGCGGAGTTTTGTTCAGCAGATATATTCTCAGTGTGCCCAGAGAGAGAAATATCTGCCCCTACCTAGGATTGAACTCACAGCCTCACAGCTTGTGAGGCAAGAAATCCACCTCTAGGCCACCGCACCACTCCTCTCACATACTCTCATCAATGTGGTTACTAAAGTGACCTTCCTAAATGTTTTGCATAGCTCTAAGTCATAGATAAATGTTTCCAGGTCCAGTCAGTTTGTTTGTTTTGGAGCAGCTAAACATAAATCTTATAAGTTTTGTCAGGATATAGTTTTATACAGTTTGTGGTTGACAAACTGTATACAATTGCAGAAAATTGCTTGTTGCTGCTATCTATCACTTGTTAATTCACCAACAACTGGGGAGTCAAAGAGCACATCCATACTACAGGCGTGTCTTTTGGTGGGTATATGATTCCTAAACAGGCTAAACTCCAAGCTGAAAGCCCAGCTTTCGATAATCAATAGGCCTCTAGATCAATGTTTTCTCAGCCCATATGGCCAGATGAAGAATTCTGGGGATCCATATTTCTTAAAAGTTGTTTCCATTGAGAAACGTTGAGCTAGACCAGGTTTCAGGTTTTTTTGGGAGGTTCTTTAAGGACTCTGGTTTGTCCTGGATGTTCTAGGACATTGGGTGTTCCCTCTGGGAACTTTCCACAGCCCTGAAGGCGTGCAGAGATAATGGAGCCATCTGCATGTTCTAGGCTTTCTCCAGATTCCTGGTCAACACAAGCTAGAGATGGGATGGGATAGTCCTTGTGCCTATGTGACAAAAAGCGTCTCCCTCTCATGAAGCTGTAGCTGTCTGAATTGAGAAATGAGATAATGTGGCTTCTGTATTTATAAATATCACAACATATTGTTTACTTATTTCTATAGAATATATACACACAGAAAATTTACCATATTTCATCAGATTTGAATTTTGATAGTTTTGAAATTTGATAATTATTAACAACAGCCAAAATATCACCTCCATGTAATAACAATTTGTATTCAATTCCAACCACTCAAATGTCCAAAATAAAACTTAATATAAGAATAATTAATTCATAATTCCTAGATACATCTTAATTGGAGGGGAAATAATCTCCATTGTGAAAACTTGAGCAAAGGAACTAAAATAATAGATTTTAAACCAAGGAATATAAATGGAAATTAATCCATCTCTTTCATTAAAAGTTCCAAGTAATCACGCTGAAAATTTTTTGCGCATCTAACAATGTCATCAGAGTAGTTTCAAGTTTCTCATATTCATTTGTTAAAATATCCACTAATTATCTCATCTCCACTAATCATATTATCCAAAACTTGATGTCCTTCCATAAAGCCAGATTGTGCAGCATGTATGATTGATGGTAGCATATTCTACAATCTGTGTGCTAAAGTTGCAGTCAAGATTTTTGCATCTATATTTAACACGGATATTGGATGATAATTTGCACAATTTGAAGGGTATTTCCTAGCTTCAGTACAATTATTATATAGGGCTCATCAGAAACATTAAAACAGTAGTAAAATAATACGTGATATAGGGAAATAAAAATAAGGAGCTCAGGTGAGACTTTTTGGAGTAGATGCCTTTGTGGCAGAAATAAAACATGAATTTCACCATGAAAGCAAATTAGCACTGGATTCCCCTTTTATCACTGAGCTTTCTACGACTCAGTTTGGGTTTTGTATTCTCAGTGCTAAAACATTGGGCTCACCACTGCCCTAGGTATGCTGTGACTGAAACTCTTGAAATTCCCAATCCTGCATCCTGAAGTCAGCTTTAATTCTCAACATCTGGAAGCCAAGTTGGTTAGGGAAGACTGAGCTATGTTCTCCTCCTTCCTTACCATCATGGCCTTAATACAAAAAATGCACAATATTTTTTACAGTTGAAGTGGTATTGGACATTCCCAGAAATGATTGGGGGCAGGAAAAAGGAATAAGCAGGTCCAGGACAAAAGTAATTTAATTTTAAAATAATTAGAATGCAATGAATTAAATGTAGTCCATATGATTACTCATTTAATTTCCTTTTCTTTCATGCTAAAAATTACAATTTGGCAAGATTCAAGACTCTGTAGACTGCATTCATCTATTGGGGTGCAGGCTGGATATTTTTGTCTAATATATTTTGTCATCTCACTGCATTAACATTCACACTGAGCTTTGTGTGAATTTAGTTCTTCTAGAAGGAATCTCCAGCTTAGGTTCTAAATAAATGCTTGATATAAAATATGATATCTTTTTCCTGGACTTGAACATGATTGAAATTGTAACTCCTTCATGTTATAGTACATTATTCTGAAGATGTATCAACGTGCTAATGTGCCAAAATACTTTGTTCTAAAGAAACGAAGTACTGTCCTTTCCACTACGAGAATTTGTTAGCCTTTTTCTAGTGTTGTGTGACTCTTTTAATACTCTAAAGCAGGGGTCCCCAACCCCTGGACCATAGCCCGATAGTGGGTCACGGCCCATTCGGAACCAGGTTGCACAAGCAGCAGGTGAGTAAGCATGCACACACAGTTCCATTTACACAAGCAGCAGGTACTCTCATGTGCATATGTGAAACTCCATTAGCACAAATTCGAGCTTCACACCTGCATGCAGGAGTGCCTACCGCTCATGCAAATGGAGCTGTGCACATTAGTGCAGGGGCCTGCCACTCGCACTGAATCATTTCCTCTACCCCTTCCCCCAGTCCGCAAAGCCAGAAAGATAAGAGACCACTGCTCTAAAACAGTATTTCTCAGGCTTTGTAACTTTAAAATGTGTGGAGTTCAACTGTCTGAATCCCTAGCTAGCATGCTAGGGAATTCTGGGAGTTGAAGTTCACACAATTTAAAATGGCTGAGGTTGAGGTGCATTGCTATAAATTACAGAAAAGCTATGGAGATAATTGTAAGTCATTCCAGCCCCACTACAAATACACACCCACCAAATCCCTTAACATAGTTGCCTTCTGTTGCTACTCTCTTTTGATTTATTCAATGAGTTACCATTTCCAACTGTCACATGCCAAGCAGGACTTTGCTTTTTGTTGTGGTCCTACCCTGAGAAAACGAAGGACCTTTAAATGGTCTGGCCCTGTTTAATTTCAAAGCAAGATTGGTATTTGGAAAAACACACACTCTAAGGAAATATTGACAATGTCAAAGTCACAAAGTCAAAGACACAATGCTAAGGTGGGTATTTCAGTATGGTATTTCAACCACCATACTGAGCTCAGTGTAGAATATGAGGCATCGTAAATGTACACTTTGGATGTACAAGACATCCAAAATAAGAACTTATGCAGGAAACTAGGGTTCTAGAAAGAAAAAGTAATACAAATTCTATAACAAGAAGTCAACATGTTAAATCTTATTGCCCTGCAGTTCTAAATGCAGCCAGTTGAAACATGTACATCTAGTGAGAAATGCATGCTCTATTACTCAGATGATGCGGGATCCCACCTCTTCTGCTCCCATACTGGACCAAATATGGCAACCCTTTTATCTCAACTATAAAATGATTATGAGCCAAATTCTTTTATTAATCTGCCCTTAAGAGCGAGATCCTTTTTTATAATAACATGATGTCAAACAAAGGGCACTAGGACTTAGTCTCTGTATTACAGTACAAAATAACAATACATAAACACCTTTGTGAAGGCAGCTTGAAACCCCATGTTTTCTATTAAGAAGTCATGTTCAATCTTTACTGTTGATAGAACAGAATAGCTAACAGAGAGAACATGGTATATCAGAAAGGTCAATAGTTATTATGAGCTACAAATATATTTTTTTCCATCCTTCAGGCTGTTTAGCGCATATCACAGCACGAGCAGCTGTCTTCTTTAATGCTTTTAAAATTAGAATCACAAAGAAGAAGAGAAAAAAAATACAGTTGCAATGATTGCTCTTTGCTTTTGTTAAGTTTACTTTAATATATATTTTATATACATGAATAGTCTGCATAGCCCAACCAAGGGGAGTAGCTGACATTTCATATGC